TTTCATTTTAAAAGATGCCTAATTTAAGCGATTTTATGTTATGTCCATTGAACATTTGCCAACATAATGGTCAATGTCTTCTCAACAAGTCCTCCATCGCTAACTTTACTTGTTTATGCACAAACTGTTTTACAGATTCTTTTTGCGAAACGGAAAAATACTCACGTAATCTATGGTACATGAGTATATCAGAAGATAAACGTTTCAAAAACGATCTACTAATCAATACAATATTTGATTTAATACTAGCAATCGTATCTCTTCTCAGTAACTTTCTAGCATTACAGACATTTCTATGCAGTTCAAAGATTCGCATTACCAATTTAGGTGTCTATCTGATATTACTTTCATTTTCGTGTTTAATTCTTAGTATTATGTATGGAGTGTATGTATATATCTATGTTTTTGTTGGTGCTGCTAAATTAGGAAGCGACCACTATTTATTTGAGTGTGTTATGATTACTTTATTTATGCCATCATTGATCTATTGTGTCTTCTGGTTAATATTGTACATTGCAATTGAACGGCTTCTTATCGAATATTCATTTGTCAGTTTATACGGTCCAAGACGACGTTCTCTTATTTCAAGCGTATGTCTTTACATTATTGTGCCAGTAACAAATATTTCGGTAAATATGTTCGGTACAAAAAACAGTTATTCTTGCGTTGATTCTTGTCTGTTAGATTTTACTTCAACTGGATACATTTTCTATTCTATCCTTTATCGACTCAATTATTTGGCTGCACCAACTGCATTATTCATTTCATGTCTTTTCATTCTATATCATCTTCTCCGACATCGGCTACATTTCACAGCTGATAGTAGCTCACTAGGGTCCTCAATAAAAGTTATCATATTAAATCATCGAGATTTCATTCTTCAGCCACTTGTAGTTACACTCTGCGAGATGCCATATTTTATATTGGACTATTTTATGACTTGCTCAAAAGCGGATACCCACGTTGTTGGAAAACTGAGAACAATTTTCATATTACTCCATGATTTGACTTTGACAACGACATTTTTTACTTTGGCTAGTCCATCAAAATTTTATATGCAACAGTTTTGGAATACATCGTACGTTGGGCGATTCTTACTTTATACGAAAGACAAGTTATGGGCTACCCACGCAGACAGATAAATGGTTACAACGTTGTTTTCACGCGTTAATGATGAAAACTGAAGAAAACAACGCTTTACCCAAGCAGACAAGAATTTGGAAAAACGCATTTAAACCCTACAATCGGGAACTGCGATTGTGATCCACTCACGCTCAAAAAAATAACGCCGTTTTTTACGTGTTTCGCGTTTTTTTGCGCTTAATTTTCACTTTGTGGCTGTGAAAACGGCGAAAATTCCACTTTTTGAGCGCTAAAACGCTTGATTCTTAAGTCCCAGAAAACTTCAGAAGTAAAAGCACGTTTTAACGCTCAAAAAATGGGATTTTTGCCGTTTTCACGGCCAAAAAGTGAAAATTAAGCGCAAAAAAACGCGAAACACGCAAGAAACGGCGTTCTTTTTTTGAGCGTGGGTGGATCACAATCGCGGTTCCCGATTGTAGGGTTTAAACGCGTTTTTCCAAATTCTTGCCTGCTTGGGTAAAACTCGTTAACTCGACGAATTAAAGAAGTAAACGCGTAAAAACGTTTTTTTTCGCCGACAATGCATTTTAACGGATTTAACGAAAATATGACATAGATGAGGATGTTTTAACGTGCGCAATCGATAGATCAAGGGATTTGGGAGGGTGTGGGTGTGGGTGTGAGTTTTAACTTCAACCACACCCAACATGATCATGATCAAAAAATACTATGTTAACAATGAACGAAAAAGATTTTTAACATAAAAATACAGCCGTGTGTAAAAAGAAGAACAAGTTTGGCAATAAAAATTTATTTAATGCCGTCAAAATATTTCACATACGCCATCGGAGTAGCTTATAAACTACTTATTGCAACATCTGAATCTTCTGGAAATCATGGAAAAAAAATATCAAAAAAAGTTGTGAAGAATCTATTGAAAAAAGCTGCAGACGGTATAAAGAAACAGAGTCGATAGCGCCCAGTTTGCGTCACTAAAATGTTATTATTGTTGAACTAGAGTCATATATTTTTCTGTTCAACAAAGATTATGAAAATTCAATTACTTAACTTCGACGTATTAATATTTCTATTAAAAAATTTACAAATATTAACGAATACAGTCACTTTCTCAATCAAATCAAAGATGAGAATTCTTTAGGAATGTTTTCAGTTTTCTCGGAAAACAGATTGTATTTATTGTTGAAAATTTATCTCATCTTAATTCAATTTATGCTTTTTTCTTACAATAAATGAAAAAATCAATTATGAACTTGTAAATATCGAAAACTAAAGGATATTTTTACTCCAATGAAACAGTTTGTCAATTGTTACAACATGATATAAAACAATATGATAATATTTAAATATGAATTAATATTATTTCTAAAAATGATTGGAACATTATAATCAAACTAAAACAAATCTTGTTGAATTTCTCTCTTATGAACAATATGATGATAAACAAAAGAGTTTGAAATTACCAATAAATTTAACAAAACTTGTTCTCCTTCATTACTCATCTGATATATATATATATAACGCAAGAGATTTCTTGTTGGAGACCTTCTTCAACAAATTGAACAAATACACGGAAAGATGATTCATTAAGGGGACCCCCCCCCCCTTTCCGGCGTTTCTAAGAAACGGCCCAATGAAAATTCCTGAAACTTTCAGGGTAGATAGACCTCGAGTAGTAGAGCAAAAGTTGTCATGGACATAAATTTGCCAGACGTTATCTTCATGGACTTCCAGAGACCCCAAGGTCAAAAATTTGCAAAACGTTTTGCCCTCCCTGGACTCCCCAGATTTCATCCGTTTGAGCTGAAATTTTTACTGTGGGTAGATGGACCCAATCGGGGCGGACGTTTTTTTTTTTTTTTCAAAAATTCCAAATACTTCAGGCTGGAGAACCAAAATACTGAGCACTTCGCAAAATCTGTAGGTTTTTTGGATCCTAAAAATTTTGCGAAGTCTGCCAAACTTGATTAGTAGAAGGTATCCCAAAAAAAAAAAAACGTCCAACCCAAATCACTTGAAGTCTCACCAAAAAAATTTTCAGTCCGATCGGACTTGAAATGGCGGAGAAAAGGGGGGCAAAACTGTTTTTTGATACCAAAAAAGCTGATTTCGAGAAAAATGCAAAGAAAATTGTGTTTTTTGATTTTTTTGGCATATTTTTCGATTTTTTTCGAGTTTTTTATAGATAACATGCGGGTTTTCAGTTCTCAAAGTGTGCTCAATAGATAGAGGGTATTTAAATCTACATACTAATCACAAAAAATGAAAAACGAAAAATGTGAAAATTTTGAGTCGGGAAAGGGGGGGGTCCCCTTAAGGCATATTAGCAAACCCAATACTGTCTAGTGGAAATTCTTGACTGAACTTTTTTTATTCTATAATGAAAGAACACAAGTAGAAATCAATTTTCCTACATAAAAATCAATCAAGTTTTGAGGGTGTGGGTGTAGGGTACATGCCAGTGTGGTGAAAGAAACGGTCACAACAACACCCATGCCCATACCCTAGGTTGTCAGCTTCAACTTTCCAATTTCGCCTCGGAGACACATCGAATTCACAAACCAAAACTATTGTTGAAGAACTTTTTCACAAATCGTTACAATTCATATGAAACTACACACTTCTTTTGGCGAACGAAAAACCGGCCTTGTGCTTTTATGAGAGGAATTTCAAAGTCAAGAACGACCATGAAGGAAACTGTGTGGAGACTCTGATCATATTCATCGGTGCAGACCACAACAATCTACAGATACTTACGAGTACTACTATGGCAAGCAAACAAAATGCTCAGAACTGTCTTCGAAATCATATTTTTGTGTTGTAACTATTTTTTTTGTGTTTCCGTAGTATACGCACACTCTATCGCTCGTTTTGGGATACTGATGACGTGATTGAAATAAATGAATTTCAGTACTTTATATGAGCTCCATGACATTGTTACCAAGACAATGAAATCAGCAACAGGAGGAAGATATTTGAAGGCGAACTTAAAAAACAACATTAACAAGAGAATGATTAACAGAACTCGACCTTCGCGATGAAAGACATCCACGAATCAGTTTTTTTCTTTCTCTCTACCTTATTTTGCTTAAAAGAAGACACTGTCCATTGTCTACGGCTCATGTTTTCATGCTGAATAGTCGAAAAAAAAATTGTCATGCATGAATTAATGTGATTTGATACAGCGCTATAAAAACAAAAAATCAACTGTTGTGTAGGATGAAAAACAGTGTTCAATAAATGTCGATGCAAATCAGTTTAATTATTCGTCAAATCAGCACCAAACACTGTGTTTCCATTTTCATATCCTGACACACATTACTTAATAGGTTTCACTCGAATCAGATTGAAATGAACACGGCCATTTTCTTGTTTATGTTTTCATGAAATTACACCGATCTTCGTATTGTATGAATGGTCGGAACAGATCACGCACACGCTGCTTACTGTGCATACTTTCTTTTTGATTCTGGCACAAGAAACGCATTGACAAAAGTCTTATTTTTACAACAATGACACGGATTTTAACCCATGGATGATTAAAATCATTCATTATTTCGGTTGGAAAGAATAATTTTTGTGATATTCTAGTCGATTACGGTAGCATTCATTCGTTCTTCCATTGATACTTCTTTGTATGACATATAAGATCATTCAAAAACTACAAAACAATTTCCATAATTCGAAAAAAGTAAATCATTTGGATACAGCTGAACATGCGGCTGTTTACTTGACCCTTCAAATAACCATTCGTCTCTAGCTTGTCGTTGTTCTTCGCTATCATCAAAATCTAAAAGAGCTTTCAATTATAATACTGAATTAGTCGTAATCTGTTTAACAATGTGACAAGCTATAATAATGCAGACAGTTACTAGGAAAATTAGCTTTAATAAAGAAATTCAAGGCGCTTGTCTTAAAGTTTCACCGGGATATAATGGAAAAGGCTCTTTATAATCTTTGCCCAATCGGATTTCTATATCGCCATGTAACAATTTTACTTGGCCATTTTCATCGAATTGTACTTGACCAATTTCGTTTTTCATAACGGGATTTTCGACAACGCAATAGTGTCTTGGTGGTAAAATGATCATTTTTTCTGGTCCTAGAGTAATTATCTCATTGTCTTGCTTAAAAAATGTTTTCGGACCAATTTTCAACCGTGTTATGCCTGTATTTTGATCTAATACGTGAATATAATAAAACGGTAGGATGTGGTAGACGGGACCGACTTGAGATGGTAAACTTTCTGACGACATATTAATGCCAGATTTTCGTTCTAGAAAAGACAAACAAGATAAAAGAAAATCGAATGTAAAACTTTCAGAAAAACTCATTTTTTCAGAAGGATGACTTGCTTCTTTCAACTATGCCCGGCAACACATTTCACAACTGTTATGAAACAGCTCTGCTAAATCAAAACAGTCATGCACGTAATTGCGAGAGCTTGTGTAATATTTTATTCTGTTCTTTCGTCATACGTCACAGCATGTGATAGCAAGGACTTTTTTCTTTTTGGCGACGTAAAACAGAGATCGTTTTGAAAGTG